TCTCAAATTTGAATAATTAATGAATATTCAATAAGTTAGGGAAAGAAATGTGTCTGTCCTTATTGCCCAGTATGGCGCTCCTTGTCTAACGTTCAATAGCAGTTCAGATACCTCCACTTATATTATATATTCCTGTTACATTTCCGAGTTTCTGGTCTCAATCCGATAGATCCGATAGATGGCAGCACGTAAGTATAGAAAAGAACAGTGCCATTACGTGACAAGGATACATATACTTTTCTGTCTAATTCATTGAATATTTATTAATTACTCGATTTCTAAGAGGAAATCATGCACTTTTGGAATCGTAAATGAAAAACCAGACTATTAATGATATTCACGTGTAGTTCTGTATCGAAATTGTTGCTTAAATTCGCAGTTATTAATTATTGTTGAACGACAATCCGTTACTACGGAGAACAGACGCGATGAATTTTCATATAATTTGAATTAACACGTAATTAATTAATGATCTTTGTGTATGGAATATAAAGTACAAAGTCTAAGGAAGCTTCTACGGTTCCAAATAACGAGCTTTAAGCTTGCAAAAGTTCGATATTAATGAAAAATCGTAGACACGCGTCGCGCGAGCCTAGACGCTTATTGAGATATTTGTTAATAACTAATTAATTGTACAAAAAATCCTATTCAAAACTGTAAGGGAACGTTACTTAAGGTTCACACTGTATTCTTTAATTTCAAAAGTGCACAAATTGTTCCTGAAATTTGAATAATTAATGAATATTCAACAGATTAGAAAGAAAAATATGTCTGTCCTTATCGTTTAATAGTGCGCTCCTTATCTAACAGTCAGTAGCAGTTCAGATACCTCCACTTATATTATATATTCCTGTTACATTTCCGAGTTTCTGGCCTCAATCCGACAGATCCGATAGATGGCAGCACTTAAGTATAGAAAAGAACAGCGCCATCATATGACAAGGATATACGTATTTTTCTGTCTAATTTATTGAATATTTATGAATTACTCGATTTCTAGGA